ATGGTCCCTTCTGACAACATGACCAAAATAGGTGAGATGAAGTCTGGCCATTCTTGCTTCCAAGGAGCATTCTGGCTGCACTTCCTCCAGGACAGATCTGTTAGTTCTTTTAGCAGTCCATGGTACTTTCAGCATTCTCCGCCAGCACCACAACTCAAAAGCATCAGCTCTTCTTTGGTCTTCCTTATTCATTGTCCAGCTCTCACATGCATACAAGGCGATTGGAAATATCATGGCTTGTGTCAGGCGCACCTTAGTCCTCAAGGAGATACCCTTGCTCCTCAGCACTTGAAACAGTTCCTTCGCAGTTGACTTTCCCAATGCTACACGTCGTCTAATGTCCTGACTGCTGCTTCCATTGGCATCGATTGTAGAACGAAGCAACGTGAATTCTTTGACAACCTCAATCTTCTCTCCATTTATTGTGATGCTGCTCATTGGTCCAGTTGTGAGGATTTTTGTTTTCTTTATATTGAGACGTAATCCATACTGCAGACTGTATTCTTCAACCTTCATCAGTAGGTGCCTTAAGTCATCCTCACTTTCAGCAAGCAAAGTTGTATCGTCTGCATATCTCAGGTTGTTAATGATTCTTCCTCCAATCCTGATACCACGTTTTTCTTCATATAGTCCAGCTTCTTGGATTATTTGCTCAGCATATAGATTGATTGTTAACCATAATTTGTTATAATCCACACAATCGGATGCCTTTGCATAGTCATCCATAAAACAGGTAACATCTCTCTCTGGTATCCTTTGCTTTCAGCCAAGATCAATCTGACATCAGCAATGATGTCCTTCCTTCCATGTGGTCTTCTGAATCCAGCTTGAATTTCTGGTAGTTGCCTGTCAACATACTGCTAATTGTTGGAGATGTTGGTTTAAAGTGATTTTGGCTCTTTTTTCTTTTTTGATGTGTGCATTTATTTCTGTAAATTGACCTCTGATGACTGCTTTTGCTGTGTCCCAAAGATTTTGGTATGTTGTGTTTTCATTCTCATTTGATTCAAAGAATTTTTTAATTTCATTTTTTATTTCTTCTCTTACCCAGCCTTTCTTAAGGAGGGTATTGTTCAGTTTCCATTTGTTTGTTCTTTTTCCATTGATCTTCCCATCGTTGATTTCTAATTTGATAGCATTGTGATCTTGAGAAGATGCTTTGCAGTATTTCAGTGTTTTTTTAAAATTTATTAAGGCTTGCTTTATGGCCTAACATATGGTCTATCCTGGAGAATGTCCCATGTGCGCTGGAAAAGAATGTATATTGTGCTATTGTTGGGTGAAGTGTTCTGTAGAGATCTATAAGGTCAATTTGGTAGATTGTATCGTTTACCTCTTCTGTGTCTTTGTTAAGTTTCTTTCCTGTTATTCTACCTTTGATTGAAAGTAGTATACTACAGTCTCCCAGTATGACTGTAGGAGCTCTGGTAGCATAGTGCCTAAGGCATTTGACTGCTAACCAGAAGGCTAGCGGTTCAAACCCACCAGCCACTCCTCAGAAGGAAGGTTGGGCAGTCTACTTCCATAGTGATACTGCCTCGGAAACCCAAGGAGGGTTCACTATGAGCCAGGTCCGACTCTACGGCACATAACTACAACAGCTATGACTGTGGAGTCATCTGTTTGCCTTTTCAACTCTTTTAAAGTCTGATTTATATATTTTGGGGCTCTTTCATTGGGTCCATAGATATTTATTGCCAAGCTTTACTTACAAGGTGCCTCTGAGTAGGTCTGAACCACCAACCTTTCAGTTAGTAGTCCAGCACTTACCCATTTGTGCCACCTTTGGACTTCTGTACTTTAAAAGACAGTGTTCTGGTTACATAGAGCTGCTCTGATAAGAATATACCACAAATGCAATGGCCTTAACAAACAGGAGTTTATTCTCTTGCAGTTTGGGTGCTTTAAGTCCGAGATCAAAGTGCCAGGCTCTCGGGGCTGTATGAAGCCCCTCAACCTAGGGCTTCAGCTCTGCCTCTTGCTTCCAGCCCAGTGAAGCTAGAGGCATCTCTTCATTCAGGCAGCTACTGTCTTCTGAGGCTAACCATACCAAGGTCAACAAATAAAATGGCACAGTCCCCATATTAGCAAACCACATGGCAGGCCATTAATTCAAGTCCATAGTAAGTCCCAAGGTCAGTAGAGCATGGCAGGCTGCTGAACAATGACACAGCTACATGCAGGTCCAAGTGTGCCATAAACTAGAGACCATTCCCAACGCTGCTTCTTATATATGGGAAGTAGACCACATACCCAAAGCTACTACTCAGCTGCTCCAATAGATTCCACCATGGAGTTAATTACCAATCTCACCATGGGGAGTAACTACCACCAGCTGCCCAGCCATTCAACCGGGCCCAGCCAAGTTGACACACAAACTTAACTACCACAATACCTAAATATTATTTTTTTGAATTCCTTATTATGGAGTTCCAATGCTACTTTTCCTCAGGGATGTGTTCTGGGTCTGTATCTTGCTCCCTTGCTTCTACCACTTCATCTTGCTGCTTTGTGTGGACTGTGATGGCCTGTTGTCTCCAGAGACATTGTGACATTGTTGTATTTAGATCTCTGTTAACTGTGAAGAGCAGTTAAGGGTGAGTCAGGCTTTTGTTGTTGTTGTTGTTGTTGTTGTGTGTGGTTGAGTCGGCCCGACTTATAGTGTCCCCTCCTTGGGTTTCTGAAGCGGTATCACTACGGAAGTAGATTGCCCAACCTGGTGGTCATTTATCATTGGCCGGTTGGTGGAAAAGGAAGTGATAGCTCTCACTCAGTAAGTGAAGCTGCAGGAGTTGCAGGTATAGTTGTGCCGTTTGGTCACTATTGCTGTCTCCCACTCAGACAAAAACAACAGCCGAATAACCATCGAGAAAGTAAAAGCAAATGGAAAAAAACACACCACATAAACACACAGGAACATTAACCAAAAACAGAAAAGAAAAAAAAAAAACAGTATCTGGGGAGAGGGCAATAAGAGAAAAAAGGGAGAGAAGAAGAATAATGAAAAAATTGTGAAAAATGCAAAAAGAAAAACTAGGAATGGGATCAATCACGAGAAAGAAAAAATAGGAACCAGGAACAGGGAAGAGAGAAAAAGGTGAAAACTAGAACCTTTCAGGTCATTGGTGTCCGAAATGACCTTGTGGTTCCTGGTAAGTAGAGCCTATTCTTAAGTCCCTGGAATCTGGGAGAACACTTGTCGCTTTAAATATTCAAAATGGTTGAACCACTTGTAAACATTAAAAATGGCTGCGCCCACCGGACAGGCAAAAGTCCACAGCTCAGCCCACTTTCCTCTTCGTTGCTTCCCCTTTTATTCACCAGGCACCAGCGTAGTTTTCTGCGTAGCCCTTGGCTAGCCGTGCTGATTTTTAGATTAATTCTTAAGTCCTAACACCACTCAGCAATATCTAAGCTGTGTGTGCCGCCATCAGGATGACTTACAGACTGCAGCTCTGTATGTCTTCTTTTTTGGTGTTTTCGTGCAGGTTCTTCTGCTAGTTGGAGTTTAGTCCACTTCTGTATCCTACCCTTCAAAGCTCAGGGCTTCAGGATTTTCTTCTGTATCTGTGTTAATTGGTTCCCTTTTCTTTGTTGAAGAAGGTCTGTGCCCTCTGTATGCCTATTCTGCCATCTTACCAAAAGTCCCCTGTCAATATACTGCTGCAGCCACTTTTTAATTATCTTTAGCAAAATTTTACTTGTGTGTGATATTAATAAAATTGTTCAATAATTTCTGCATTCTGTTGAACTACCTTTTTTGGGGAGTGGGCACAAATATGGATCTTTTCCAGTCAGTTGGCCAGGTATCTAGCTTTCCTCCAAATTTCTTGGCATAAATTAGTAAGCACCTCCAGGTTGTATCCATTTGTTGAAACATTTCAGTGGGTGTACAATCAATTCCTGGAGCCTTGTTTTCCACCAGTTCCTTCAGTGCAGCTTCATCTTCTCCCTTCAGTACCATTGGTTCTTGATCATGTGCTGCCGTCTGAAATAGTTGGACATCAACCAATTCTTTTTGATACAGTGACTGTATTCCTTCCATGTTCTTTTGATGCTTTCTGCATCATTCGGTCTGTGCCCATAGGATCATACAACACTGCAAGTCGAAGCTTGAATTTCTTCAGTACTTTCAGCTTGAGAAATGCTAACTGTGTTCTTCCTTTTGGTTTTCTAACTCCAGGTCTTTGCACATTTCATTATAATACTTTACTTGTCTTCTCGAGCTGCTCTTTGAAATTTTCTCTTCGGCTCATTTATTTCATCATTTCTTCCATCTGCTTTAGCTACTCTTCATTCAAGAGCAAAGTTCAGACTGTTGTTGTTGTTGTTGTTATGTGCCATCGAGTTGGACCCGACTCATAGCGACCCCTCCTTGGGTTTCTAAGGCAGTATCACTACGGAAGCCCCATCTTCCTTCCAAGGAGTGGCTGGTGGGTTTGAACCGCCAGCATTCTGGTTAGCAGTCAAGTGCCTTAGGCACTACACTACCAGAGCTCCCAAGGTTCAGACTAGGCATGGTAATTTTCATGAGAGACAAATAAGGGGAAAATGTACTTCCTTTCTAAAAGGATTACTATATTTCATCAAGGAGCCCTGGTAGCACAATAATTCAGCTGCTAACCAAAAAGCTGGTGATTTGAGTCTACCCAGTGGCTCCTTGGGAGAAAGACCTAATGATCTGCTTCTCTGAATATTACAGCCTCGGACATCCTGTAAGACAGTTCTGCTCTGTCACATGGGGTTACTATGAAGTGAAGCCAACTTGATGGTACCTAACAACAATATAGCAAGGTGCCATCAATTTTAAGATACATCATTCTTTTAGGAACCAGTAAGAAAGACAAATGATGCCAATTAAAACTATATTGCCATTGCCTGAACTTAAAAATGTTGAGAGGGGTGTGTATGTGTGTCTTAAGTCAATCACACGGTCAAGATGAATAGATAAGATGGATATGTGTATTTTCTTTAATTTAACAGTTATTCTTTGATTCCAGAACTGTGGAAGATTTGAAGAATAATGAAAGCCAATGGAAAGATTCCCCACTGGCAACTAGACACCGTGAAATGCTGAAACGCTGCAAGACTCAGCTTAAGGTTTGTATAGTTAATTGAAGTAATCATAGACCAGCCTCATAATAGTAGTTTTATTTTTTTTTTACCAGAATATGTATTTTGAGTGAATAGTTCAGTATTCTTGTTTTTTCTTCTCTCATTCTTTCCCCACCATCAGGATAAAATAGTTTTAAAACTCGGTAGCTTCCATGTATCTCTATGTAATTATTTAAGCCTCTGGTCAGAATATGCAAATGTAATGGGCTAATGCCAGTGATAACATGACTTCTTATTAGCTTTGTTGTCTTCAGTTTAATATCACTCCCTCTCCTACAAGATCCATGTACCACCCCCTAGCTAAACCACTCACTCACTCACTCATCCTAGTATATCCAGCACCGTGCATTTTCATATTGATACAGTGGATTTGTAGTTACAGGAAGTTATCTTTCCTTTGCCCCTCATGCTTCTTTTTTAATTTAAAATGATCCATCACACAGAACCTAGCTTTAGATGGAAGGATTTCTGATTACAAGACATTATAGCTAAAAACAAATGCTGGCAGAAGTTGTACAACAGTAGATAACACATTCATGCATTTGTCTTACGTTCAAGTTGTAAAAGCTGAATGTTGCTTGTGCTTTCTGTTGCAAATAGAGTGGTATGTGGACATTTTACATGACATTACATCTTGCTACAAGTTAAGATCTAAGTTTTATTTACTAATAGACAAGACCTCTTCAGGATGCAAAGTTCTGCCCAAGTTGTTGTTGTTAGGTGCCATCAAGTCATCTCTGACTCATAGCAACCCTGTGGACAGCAGAACAAAACACTGCCTGGTCCTGTGCCTCACAATCCTTGCTATACCTGAGCCCATTGTTGCAGCCACTGTATCAATCCATCTTGTTGAGGGCCTTCCCCTTCTTTGTTGACCCTCCACTTAACCAAGCATGATATCCTTCTTCAGAGAATGGTTCCTTCTGACAACATGACCAAAGTAGGTGAGACGAAATTTGGCCATTCTTACTCCAAGGAGCATTCTGGTTGCACTTCCTCCAGGCACATTTGTTAGTCCTTTTAGCAGACCATGGTACTTTTAGCATTCTTCTCCAACACCACAAGTCAAAAGCATCAACTCTTCTTTGGTCTTCCTTATTCATTGTCTGGCTCTCACATGCATAAGAGGCATTGAAAATACCATGGCTTGGGTTAGGTGTGCCTTAGTCTTCAAGGAAGCATCTTTGCTCTTCATCGCTTGAAAGAGGTCTCTTGCAGTAGATTTGCCCAGTGCAATACGTCATCTGATGTCTTGACTACTGCTTCCATTGGTGTTGACTGTAGAAACAAGTAATATGAAATCTTTGACAACTTCAAAGTTTTCTTCATCCACCGTGAAGCTGTTCATTGGACCAGTTGTGAGGATTTTTTTTTCTTTATATTGAGGTGTAATCTATACTGCAGACTGTAGTCTTTAATCTTTATCAGTAAGTGCTTCAAGTCATCCTCACTTTCAGCAAGCAGAATTGTATCATCTCCATATCACAGATTGTTAATGAGTCTTCTTCCATTCCTGATGCCATGTTCTTCTTCATATAATCCAGCTTGAAATATTTGCTCAGCATACAAGTTAAATAATTCTGGTGAAAGGATACAACCTCAATGCACTCACTTCTTGATTTTGAAGCATGCAGTATCCCCTTGTGTTTGAACGACAGCGTCCTGATCTATATACAGGTTCCTCATGAGTACAATTAAGTGTTCTGGAATTACCATTCTTCTCAGTGTTATCCACAATTTGTTAATGACCCACACAATTGAATGCTTTTGTATAGTCAATAAAACATAAGTAAACATCTTTCTGGTATTCTTTGCTTTCAGCTAAGATCCATCTGACATCAGCAGTGATAACCCTGGTTCCATGTCCTCTTTGAATCCAGCTTGCATTTCTGGAAGCTCTCTGTCAATATACTGCTGCAACCATTTTTTAATTATTTCAGGAAGATTTTACTTGCATATGATATTAATGATACTGTTTGATAATTTTCACATTCTGTGGGATCACCTTTCTTTGGAATGGGTACAAATAAGATCTCTTCCAGTCAGTTGGCCAGGTAGCTGTCTTCCAAATCTCTTGGCATAATAGAGTGAGTGCCTCCAGTGGGGCATCCATTTGTTGAAACATCTCAGTGGGTATTCTGTCAATTCCTGGAGCCTTGTTCTTCGCCAGTTCTTTCAGTGCAGCTTCAACTTCTTCCTTCAGTACCATTGGTTCTAGATCATATGCCACCTCCTGAAATGGATGAACATCGACCAGTACTTTTTGGTACAGTGCCTCTGTGTATTCCTTCCATCTTCTTTTGATGCTTCCTGCATCATTCGATATTTTGCCCATAGAATCTTTCAATATTGCAACTTGAAGCTTGAATTTTTTCCTCACTTCTTTCAGCTTGAGAAATGCCAAGTGTGTTCTTCCCTTTTGGTTTTCTAACTCCAGGTCTTTGAACAATTCATTATAGTAATTGGCTTTGTCTGCTCGAGCTGCTTTTTGAAATCTTCTGTTCAGCTCTTTTATCTTGTCATTTCTTCCATTTGCTTTAGCTACTCAGGGGCACCCAGGGGCAGGTTTCAGAGTCTCTTCTGACATCCATTTTGGTCTTTTCTTCCTTTCTTGTCTTTTTAATGACTTGCTTCCTTCATGGATGATATTCTTGATGTCATCCCACAGTTCCTCTGGTTTTTGATCATTCGTGTTCAGTGCATCAAATCTATTCCTTAAATGGTCTCTAAATTCAGGAGGAATATTATCAAGGTCATATTTTGGCTCTCATGGACTTGTTTTAATTGTGTTCAACTTCAGCTTGAACTTGCATATGAGCAGTTGATGGTCTGTTTCACAATCAGCTCCAGCCTTGTTTTGGCCAAAGATACTGAACTTCTCCATCACCTCTTGCCACAAATGTAGTCAGTCTGATTCCTGTGTTTTCCATCTGGTGCAGTCCACATGTATAGTCATTGCTTATCTTTTTGGAAAAAGGTGTTTGCAATGAATAAGTAGTTGGTCTTGCAAAATTCTATCATGCGATCTCCAGCATTTTTTCTATCACCAAGATCATATTTTCCAATTACCAGTAACTCTTCTTTGTTTCCAACTTTTGTATTCTAGTCCCCAGTGATAATCAACACATCTTGATTTCATGTCCAGTCATTTTCAGACTGCAGAAGTTGGTAGAAGTCTTCAATTTCCTCATCTTTGGCTTTGGTAGTTCGTGTGTAAATTTGAATAATGGTCGTATTAACTGGTCTTCCTTGTAGGCGTATGGATATGCGAAGGGCAGCTTTTAAATAATGAAGCTGGAATTCAGACTTGGATTTCTGGCTTCTTCCCTGCTAATTGTCTTCCCTGCTAATTGTCCCTCACTCCCAAAGTGTCTGCCAGCCTCCTCACCCAAGTCAAGTTACTTTAATGGCCCAGTAATAGCTAATCTTTTTTAGCATCAACTGTGCTAGGCTTTGTACTCAGTGATTTGCATGGCATACCTTTTTATGTTTCTCAGACAAAAGAAAGGTCTTGAGACATGATCAGCATCCCACACCTCATTAGAGAAGGACCTCTAGAAGCTCTAACCAACAAAAACCAACTCACTGCTGTCAAGTCGTTTCCAACTCATAGCAGCCCCTCCTTGGGTTTCCAAGGCAGTATCTCTACAGAGTTCGATTGCCCCATCTTCCTTCTGAGGAGTGGCTGCTGGGTTTGAACCACCAGCCTTCTGGTTATCAGTCAAATGCCTTAGGCAGTACACCACCAGAGCTCTAAGCTCTAGAACCTAGATTTCCTACCTCCTGGCCCCAATCTCCACCCGGTGTAGGTACTTAGCTGTGACTAATCTGTGGGGCATGAAATACCTATTTCTGCAGAAACTGGTACGGTGCAAGGCCTGTGCTGATGCTGGCTTACTTGACGAGAGCTTCCTGAGAAGATGTCTGAATTTCTATGGACTTCTCATTCAGCTCCTGCTCCGTATCCTGGACCCTGCCTATCCCGAGTGAGTGTGTTCTTTCCTCTTGTCTTCATCGCTAGTCTTCTGGACTGTGTTGTCTTTATTGTTCTTCGTAGTCAATAAGTATAACCAGAGCCCTTCGTTTATCAAGAATTCACTTCTCTATTTTCTTAATACATTTCTATAGGCTCTGAAGTTAGTGTATAAGTAGTAATAACTGTTTTCCCTGAACTTACTAAGTGAATGTCAGTATCTGGTATTTTTGTTTTGACATAGTACTTTTTAAAAAATAGTTACTGTGGGGCAGGAATGGTTATATAAAATCTTTAATTATAGAAAAAGAAACCTATAAATTAAAAGCTAAAAACTGGAGATCACAGGATATGAAGCGCTCTTGAGCTCTGGGTGCAGGAAAACACCCAGCTGCTCAGAAGGGACCTACGAACGTTGTCGATCTCTTTGTCATCAATTGGATATCTCCTCCTGGCTGCCATTGTTCTTAGGAAGTCTGTGGATTACTGATGTTGGTGATACTGACCCAAGCCCTCTGCAGGAGTGGAAGCTGTTATTTAAAATATGTGTGTAGCTCTGTTGTCTCAAACAGTTTGAGTTGCACAAATATGACCAATATGACCTTCTCATTGTCTTCCAATTTTAGTATTACATTAACCTTAACAATGTTCAGGAAATGGAGACAAGGAAAAGCTTTCAGCACACTCTCACCACCCAGCTTATTTAGCTTTGTCTTCATCATTCACTGCTCAGCTCAGCTCGTGGCTTACTTCACCTATATGTGATTTTCATGTCTTGACAGCATGAGGGTTCTTTTTCCCAAACTTTTATATTCCTTATAGTTTGATGTGTCATGATTGACTGTTGTGCTTTTCATTTTTCTTCTTTGACAGTATAACACTGCCTTTAAATTCAGATGTCCCCAAGGTATTTGCAGCATTGCCTGAATTTTATGTAGAAGATGTTGCTGAATTTTTATTTTTTATTGTACAGTAAGTACCTTTAAAATACTACATAGTTGTTCTAATAAGTTTTTATATATGGTGTGTACACGATATTACCAACTCTATTGCCAGCCTCCATTTTATGCCTAACATTTTATGTAACTGCTTTAACTGAATGCTGCCTCCAGAATGGAAAAATAAATCCAACCATGGCAGCCAGCCAATTCCAATAATACCTCGAAGACAGCAGTGGAATTAGCAATGTTGATAATAATGTACTCTGTGAAAATTGAATTGGATTTCTAATAGTTGAATATGTGTTTCTGAGAAACAGAAGGCGCAGGCAGTTTATAAATATCTGAGTGAGCATCCAAAAGCCAGAAATAACCCACATCTATATTTTGTACCAAAATTTTTCTGAATTTCGTTATCAAAACTTGAGAAAGCTCATAAAGAGATGGTTTGAGTTTTAAAACTGATATTTTCAGATGCTTTTTCTTAGAACATCTAACTCCATCAAATGTTTTTTTCAAAAGACCTTTTGATAGTGAAGATCTTTCATGAAATTTATAATTATACTTCGGTTTATTTTTAAAAAAGTAGTTAATATAACACATGACAGGCAATATAAACATTGAATATTAAAATCTACCTAGTTATAAAGTATATATCAATTTAAGCTCATGTCTTAAGGGAAATTCAGTGTCTTTGCTTCTCAACCTCTTCTTGTAATTCCCTTCCTCACTTGATGACATCAGCATTCACCCAAGTTGAGTTTCTCAGAGATTTCTTCTCTTCCTCTTCTCGCCCCTGTTCAGATACTCTCCTCAGGTGCTTTATGAGCCCTGCACTCAGGATATTGTGATGTTCCTTGTTGTGATGTTGTGCAACCAGAACTACATCCGAAATCCGTATCTGGTGGCCAAACTGGTAGAAGTCATGTTTATGACCAATCCTGCTGTTCAGCCACGAACCCAGAAGTTTTTTGAAATGATTGAGAACCACCCGCTCTCTACCAAGTTGTTGGTACCGTCCCTAATGAAATTTTATACAGGTAGGTTTCTACATGGATGGATGGTACCTGGTAGAGTGAGGCAAGGTTGTCTAAAGCAAGTGAAGTTATTCTAAACCTGTTAACTAATATCCTGAAACTTACTTGGACACCCTCGTTAGTATAACCTACTAACCCCCTACCAGCAGTGCATGTTCTGTTGTTTTTTTTCCTCCTGAGTCATGGAAAAAGTAAGGAGTTCGGTGGTGTAGGTGCCTAAGGCATTTGACTGCTAACAAGAAGGTTGTCAGTTCAAACCCACCAGCCACTCTGCAGAAGGAAGACTGGGCAATCGACTTCCGTAAAGATTTACCGCCTCAGAAATCTAAAGGATCACTGTGATTTGGAATTGACTCAGTGGCAGTGAGTTTGGTTGGGGTTTTTTTTTTTTTTTTT